TAAGCGCACCACAGTGAGACACGGTACAACAGCATTGCACATCAGTGAGCCCATAGAACTTTATGAAATATCACTTGTGACATTTCAATAAAGTTCTAGCGAAAAAAGAAACACTGTGATAGGGCTCGATCGGGCACGTGCACACCAGCAGCCATGCGGTTGAGTGTGGCTGATAGTGGGAACAAGCGCTTAAGGGGGGAAGAACATCTCACTAGATACATTACTCCAGTACAACTGCAGTTGTAAAATGATCTATTCTTAATTACCTCACCATTTGTTGGGCTAATGAATTCTTTTAACTTTAATACATACACCAATGCTTTACAAGGACCACAGTGGAAGCTTCCCATTAGTCATTGAGGTAATTCTTTTCTTTTTGGTTCTTTTGTCCTCTCCAAATAGTTATGGAACAAGATGTCCCTTAAATTCTTTGCCTTGGTCACACTAGTACTGAAAACATTTGTATTGCTTTTTTTAAGTACACACCTGTTCTATTTCTCTATTCACTAAGCTACCGTAGGCAGCCGAGTGAATAAACAAACCGAAGTGAAGTGAGCCGAACGCTGTTCGGCTATTCACTTCAGGCTTGTACGTCTGATTTGAGCCGTATATCGTCTGAAATCAGCTGTACATCGGCTTGCTTCGCGCGGCTTCGGGTCAGCCGAACATGCTCAGCATGTTCGGCCGACCCAAAGTGCAGAAGGAGTTCGAGTCAGCCGATCCAACATCTAGATCGGCTAAGCCGAACCTTCGGCAGGCTACTCACTGATGTTCGGCCTATTCTCATAGATGCCGAACAGCAGTGAGTAAATAGCCGAATGCCGCCGAGCGGCATTCGGCTCGGCTATTCTGCTCGGTACCTCTGCGGTACCGAGCAGAATAGAAAAACAGTTTAAAAAGTAGTAAAACATAAAATAGAAAAAGAGTGGGTGGAGCTAGCAGTGGCAGCAAGCCCCGCCCAACTGTTTTCTATTGGCCGGGCGGTTCTGCTGCCGCCAGAATAAAAAAAATCACCATAGAACTAGATTCCTATTGGCTATTTCACTTTGCCATAGCCAATAGCAAACTAGCTATTGCATCCGCCCTCTGCTGCTGTCAATCACCAGAGGGATGGAGAACTTCAGGTCCCCACTGCTGATTGACAGCAGCAGTGGGCTGGTGCAATGACGTGAGATGACGGCTGGCTCCACCCAGCAGTCAGTAGCAGGCTGTCGGCCGGCCAATGGTCATCCCTTTGGCCAGCTTCGGCTTTCACCTCGGCTCAGTCGAGCCGAAGCATATGCCTTCGGATCGACTGAGCTGCTCAGCCGACTTCGGGAGCTGTACGGGCTATAGTGAATAGCCCTACAGCATCCCTTCGGTTCTACTGAACCGAAGGGGTCCTGGGGCCGAAGCTAGACGAAGGATCAGCCAAAGCTACGGCTAGATCCTTCGACAGCTTAGTGAATAGGAAAATTTTGGCTACTTTTTATCATGGATGTTTTCACATCAATATTAACCAAAGTATTAGCAAAGCTCTATTTTTCAATTTTTTAATCATTTATATGTCTCATCATGGCCTGATTCCAACTGTCATGTTTGTAAGTAGCTACTAAGCGGACAAATGTTTAGGACATCTGACCTAAACAATCCATCAACACATGTACCCATCTGACCAGAAAATAAACACTATGAAAATTTGAACACAAATGTTTTTGTGTTAGATAATATTAAACATGTTATAGGCAACTCATAGTTAAAATCTATATGTATCTTGCAACTATAACACATATATGAATAAATATAAATTAATTAAAAGTATGTTATTGTAACCTTATTGGAAATAGGCAAACCACAAACACACAAATAAACATAGGAAAAAATGACGAACTTAAAATAGAAAAAAAGCAATTTACTTAAAGCAGAGAAATCTAATGTTTTTGCTAAAATGACTCGTATATTTTTATGTGTTTGGTTTAAAACAGCTTAACAGCAATGACTGTACTTACGTATGAGAACGTAGACATTAGATATTTAAAATTGGAATGTACTAATTAACTAGTTAGCCGTCTGTAACCTAATTCCATAATAGATATATGTACATTCTTGTAAAAAAACAAAACTTTTATTAATCATTTGTTAATACTTTATTGTTATATTTTAGTATCCTACAATGTCTTTTTTGTAGGTAGTAAAAATGTCCTTGATCTAAGAGGCAAATGGTGTCTGTAAAACCTTTACTTTTTTAACAGAGGATTCCAATATAATCAGCACTGTAGTGCAAACAAATCCTAAAAGAAGGGGAGATAGCGTGAATTTAAATTCCAAAGGGGTTCCTGTGCTGGTTTCCTAGTGCACCAGTCAGTAATGTGTTTGTGGGAATTCAGTCTTTTTGTCTCTAAGAGGGGAGAAAAAAAGCTAAATCTACATCGGTGGCCCAGTCTAGGTTTGCCATTCTTTAGGATTTCTATTGATGTGAATGAAGTGGCCTGGGCCCTTTATTTGATCTACTGAATTGCATAAAGTGACAGAATTCTAACATATTTGTTTAATGCTCTTCAATAGGAATTCACTTTCTAACTTGCAAATAAAGTCCAGATCTTCGAACTTCCTCTCTTCTCTTAGCACAGGAACATATTTCATATAACCTTTCCACTGTTTAGAGGAGGATTTAAGAAGGTTTTGCAAATCAACAGTAAGAAATAAAGAAACAGATGTGAAGTTAGTGTGAATTCCTAAAGTGAGATCTGAGCCTATTGTCAGGGCACTGCAGGAGGTCCACAGGGTCTATTTTCCATGCTGTAATTGAAACATATTAATTAGGTAATTTGTTGTTAGTTGGGTGAAAACAAATAATGATGAACACATGGTCACGCATTAGAATAGAAGCATTTCCAGTAATATATGTGTCCGCATTTGTGTAAGTGTGTGTCTATGTGTGTTATATATAAGTAATATAAACAAAAATTTTCCTAAAATGTACTAACTTCCTAACTGTACACTTTAAGCTAGGTTATTTTTTTTAGCCATTCCTAAATGTGTTTATTGACTTTGAACTTGAGCCATTAATTGGGATTAAGTGAAACAAAGCTGTTGATTCATTCAGTCATCAACCTGCTTACTCGTTGATAAGCTTGAAATTAAAGAATGTTAAAAGCGAACAACAGAGTCTTTACTTTTTTTCACACATTTTCACTTTCAATTAACTGGTCCTAACGTGCTGAATTGTTCTAAGTTTTTTCCAGCAAAATGTAAGGTAAATGTCAAGGCAAAGTGAACACACATTTCTGTGTTAGGAAAGTGACTAGTTTTATATTTTTAATTTAGATATTTTCCATTGCAAATTGTTGCAGTAAAGTTTGTTGAAACTATATATTTTATTTTTAATTCACATAAATTATTCCATTGCAGCAGCAGCAGCACACTTTGTGCTCTACCACCTGAAATATAGCGATAGACTGCTATTTGTCCTCATTCCAAATGGTCTATAATCCTCTTTCTTATAAATGTTTATATTGAACTTACCAAAGAAAATTAATATCCTTACATGCTGTGGTCCACCATGCTTACATGTTTAATAATGTGTATCCATTTTATTAAGTATTATAAACCTAACTTTCCTGTATGAGTTTAAAATTATATTTAATGTAATAATAATAAATGTAAAAGTAAATCAAGGAAAATAAAA